CTGAGGGATCTGTTTATGTCCTTTCAGACCCTCAGTAGCCGAAAAATAAGAAGCCAAAAGCTCTGTTGTTTCTTACAGCACGTCAGAGGGCTTAAAAACAGCTTAAAACTGTTTTAGGTTCCTTTATCTTAAGGGAACCCAAGTCTAAGTGGTTAGGCTGCCCGCCAAGGATTTAGAGGAATCAGGATGAATTTCCAGCTCCAGCACAGACATGTTACTCAATCTGCCCAAACCCATCTGCAAAATGCAAATCATCATTACCTCAGAGAGACTAGTATGAGAAATACCTTACCGAGACAATGAGATAACTGAAGCTTGAAAAGTACTGGAAGCAATTACTTACATAGCACAACCTAACTGCAGAATGCATTTTCCTTTTAAACAAAAAAAAAAAAAAAAAAAAAAAAAAAAAAAAAAACCACCAAAAACGGATCACAATCAATCCACCAAGGACTTTTCAACATAAAATAACTCTGGCAGATAAATGTGCCTGGTATGACAAATATGTGCCAAACTAAATCAACAGCTATACGGCAGGTGAACAACTTTCAAGTTTAAATTTGTGTTTAACAATAAGTAAATACAATTTGGGGGGGGAAGGGATTATAGGAGGGTTGTGGCCATTACTAGACACTGGGGTGCTTAAGTTATGACCTGCAGAACTTTTCTGCTAAACCAGGACAACCAATCCAGCCCCAGCCCACAAGGCACACACCAGGTCCAGTTCCGAGATGAAGTACTGGCCTACTCAGACAAAAAGTAAACCACAGTACTGTCTGATCTAAACTTTAATCTATTTAAACAAGTGCTGGATCACAGAACTCCTCAAGGACTGCCATGCATTTCTTATGAATAATCACACACCTTGAACCAAGTTCTATCTTAAAATTATAATCCTACTATGATCTCTCAGACTACCTATAAACTAGACCTGGGCTAGTATCATGAGAAGAGACATAAATAACAAACTAAATACTTATTTCCATCTACACACTAGCTGCTGATGTTCCAGAGAAAACCAAGCCAGGACTGGCTCAAGTCCCCAGCCACACTCCAGAACCAGATGCAATGATTGCACCAAATCAGCAATTGTCTTCTCAATCATAGCAGCACAACGTTATTTCAGTTTTGCTGTGTTAGTTT